GGGCGAACTGAGCCTCCACCTGCACGAACCAGGCCTCCGCAGAATCTGGCCAAAAGGCTGGAACTTTCACTGAAACAGAGTTTAATAAATCCAGCGAGCTGGGTTCAGCTAGAGCTTGGACGCTATCACTGTCCTTAGGCATTTCAATCACTTGATGAGCGTGTAGCTATAAAAAAGTCTATAATGGCGCGGAAAACAGTCTATATGCCTATAGTTTCGAACTAGGAGTCACCAATTTAGCTACGCTCAGTTTGATAAACGCCTGGTTTAAATAAATACTTTATTACTAAATTTTAGAACTTAAATTTATCAAAACGTAAAAATATCATTCAAAAAGCTGGTGACATGGCCGGAAGTTGCTCATCTTGCCGCGTCTTGACCTTCGGTTCAAAACTCCTCAAAAGCCTCGTCTTCCGCCACTACGCCGCCACATAATCTCTATTCTTGTGTAAAGAGTATATTTATATATTATCTATGTATATATTTTTTATATATATAAGATGTATTCACATACAAAGATATACTTACATATATCATTGGTATAGTTTAAATTTGTTTAGATAAATTTTGAATAAATTCTTGTCTAGAGTATATATATTATCTGAAGTATTTAGTATACAGGGTGTCTCAAAAAACTGTGCAGTAGGGGTATTAGGAACTGAGGAAACAATTTTCGTTCAATATTTCAGTTACTTCATGATTTAAATTTTTTCCATCTAGGCCTCATACTTTTTTGTTATAACCAATTATTTGAACGTAAGTCAAAAATCGATTTCCCGGATTTTTCAATTTTTCGATTTTTCACGTCTTATTTTCATTCGTTCATAAAGTATAGAAAAATTTTAAGATTTTCGATTTTTTTTAAATCATAAGCTGTTAGTCTTAGGTTTTATTTTTACCTACAATTTTGGATCAGCGATCATTACTTTTGGAGCTAGAGCAATCTAAAAATAAGACATGCATTATAAAAACGAAAAGAGAGCTACGGGTACCTCCGTACGAACCTTGCTGCAGACCACACAAATAATTTTTAAAAAGTTTTCTTTTTGAAATCAGTTGGTTTAATCTACAGCTCGCTATTTCAATCAAATTTTTTTTATCTAACATAAACATAAAACATTTTTTGGAATCTGAAATTACAACAAAACTTTACAAAAATCATCACTTTAATTAAGAAAATTTTTAGTTTAGAAATGATGTTCACCCTTTCATTTGTTATTAGTCGATTTTTATGATAGGTTCCGAAACAGGGGTAAATCCACATGATGAATCCATTCTTACTTATTTTTATGTCATTAACATTTCCGTTGACGGCACTATTGACCTTTTTTGGTGGTCAAATTGTTTAAATATTATCTATATTCTAGATTCTAGAGTTTATAAAAGACGACTATTTGACAAAAATACTTACTTTAAATAGGCCAATGAACATTGGACGTCGCTATGTTGTAGTGTAAAACTTAAAAGACCTATTTCACTGAAATGGTGATATAATATGTGTCTAGTAAAACGATTTGCTTTGTAACACCATGGAATACACCTAAATATTGTTATAAAGTCGTCTTCCTATTTCAGAGTTTCTGGTTATCACTGTATATATATACTGTCTATATTCTAAATCTAGAATATACATATAATCTCTATTCCAGATTCTAGTTTCTGGAGTTTTTTTTATTTGTTTCTTTATTTTGTATTCAAATAATTCTTTTGTTTTGATTTCGACTAAACAGAATTGAAACTCATTAAAATAAATTTAAATTTCTTGAAGTCAAATTAAAGTAAATTTAGATTTCTTCATGTCAAGTTAAAGTAAATTTAGATTTCTTCATGTTAAATTAAACTAAATTTAGATTTTTTCATGTTAAATTAAAGTAAATTTAGATTTCTTCATGTTAAATTAAAGTAAATTTAGATTTTTTCATGTTCAATTAAACTAAATTTAGATTTCTTCACGTCAAATTAAACTAAGCTTAGATTTCTTCACGTTAAATTAAAGTAAATTTAGATTTTTTCATGCTAAATTAAACTAAATTTAGATTTCTTCACGTCAAATTAAACTAAGTTTAGATTTCTTCACGTCAAATTAAAGTAAATTTAGATTTCCTCAATTCAAATTAAACTAAATTTAAATTCTTTAAGTCAAATATTAAAGTAAATTTAGATTTTTTCATGTCAAATTAAACTAAATTTAGATTTCTTCACGTTAAATTAAACTAAATTTAGATTTCTTCACGTCAAATTAAACTAAGTTTAGATTTCTTCACGTCAAATTAAAGTAAATTTAGATTTCCTCAATTCAAATTAAACTAAATTTAAATTCTTTAAGTCAAATATTAAAGTAAATTTAGATTTTTTCATGTCAAGTTAAACTAAATCTAGATTTCCTTACGTCAAATTAAAGTAAATCTAGATTTCCTTACGTCAAATTAAACTAAATTTAGATTTCTTCACGTCAAATTAAAGTAAATTTAGATTTCCTCAATTCAAATTAAACTAAATTTAAATTCCTTAAGTCAAATATTAAAGTAAATTTAGATTTCTTCGCGTCAATTTAAACTAAATTTAGATTTCTTCACGTCAAATTAAACTAAATTTAGATTTTCTCACGTCAAATTAAAATATATTTCACAATAGATTGAAATATTACAATAACCGGTGTGAGCTCAATAGCTCGGAATAAGTAAAGTTCCATTGGTGTAACCCATTCAGTTCTCAAAGGAACCCAGAGCTAAACTCAGATTGGATAGATCCATTGATCATTGATGTAACCCCTTTAGTCCTCATACAGACCTGGAGCTAAGCACAGATTGCAATGTAAGCTTGGAGAGAGGTTTACTTGTAAATAAATTGTATTCAACGTTAGCAGTGGGGTAGATGACAAGTTGCCTCATCTATCGTGCAGCTAGGGAGATTTGTCCGTTAGAAAATGCCAACCCAGACAACATGCTTTGATAGCATTTTTGAACGCACGGAAAATAAAAACCACCGTTAGACCTGGATTTCTATTTTAAATTCAAGCCAATAGGCATGAAACACAACTTGACATGAGGTAGAAGGAAATAGGATCGGCCTAGGCTAAAAACTGAAATAAGAGTTAGTTGTCATCAAGGGTCGGAATATTCTATATATCTATTATCAAACAAATTTGCTCGAGTGTAAAATTAAAAATAGTGGATCTACCATGTCTCAAATTATTACCGGTAATTTCGCAAAATTTGTCTAAAATAAATAATAGTAATTTCTTGTAACCTCTATTTTTAGAGTTGCATGCTCTTTAATGAAATTAAGTTAGATTCTTCTGAGTGAAAATACATCGACAGTCCCTTTAATGATTTATATTTACATTCTATTGAGTGTAAATATAACATATACAGTCCCTTTAATGAAATATATTTAGATTCTCCTGAGTGTAAATACATCTACAGTCCCTTTAATGAAATATATTTAGATTCTCCTGAGTGTAAATACATGTACAGTCCCTTTCATGAAATATATTTAGATTCTACTGAGTGTAAATACATCTACAGTCCCTTTAATGAAATATATTTAGATTTTACTGAGTGTAAATACATCTACAGTCCCTTTAATGAAATATATTTACATTCTACTGAGTGTAAATACATATACAGTCCCTTTTATGAAATATATTTAGATTCTACTGAGTGTAAATACATGTACACTGTACAGTCCCTTTAGTGAAATATATTTAGATTCTACTGAGTGTAAATACATGTACACTGTACAGTCCCTTTAGTGAAATATATTTAGATTCTACTGAGTGTAAATATATATATAGTCCCTTTTAATGAAATATATTTAGATTCTCTTGAGTGTAAATACATGTACAGTCCCTTTAATGAAATATATTTAGATTCTCTTGAGTGTAAATACATGTACAGTCCCTTTAATGAAATATATTTAGATTCTCTTGAGTGTAAATACATGTGCACTCCCTTTAATGAAATATATTTAGATTCTCCTGAGTGTAAGATCGAAGGATCTCGACTTCAACAAGCAAAGATTGGAGAATCAGTAAAACTACAATGCAAGGTATGTTGAAATCAACCATAACTTGGATATTTATTTGATCTCTCTTAGCTATGAATTCATAAAAGTTCTTTAAGATACAAAAAACGTTAATTAGCGCGAAAGATTTAACATTTTTGTTTACACAAAAAGTGAACTACAGTTTCTGGAAGGAATATATAATTGGATATTTGATATATGGTCATTTATTCTGTAATGCCATAATGTAGCTTTTCCATGAATTTGACAAAAACTTAAAAACTTCGAAAAATCCTCTTTCTACCCAATTTATCGAGCCTAAAACCTCTACACAATAAACATGAAAGAAAAACTTTAAAATTAAAAAATTCTTCTGAAAACATTTTGAAATTGTGAATACTTTGTTCGAAATTATGAAGAGCACGTTCGGGATAAAAAAATATCCAAGACAATCCCCACTAAAACCTAATATTTCTTCGGTTATTGTACAGCAAGTTACTGCAGAAAGCACCGAAAGCTTAGTTTAGGGTGAAGTAAAATTCTGTTCATAGTTTAAACATGTTTTCGGAATTAAAGTGCGATCAATATATATGTTTCTCATAAAAATGAATTACTTTAAGGACTTTTAAGAATGATGACAAGTCCAAATTAAACAAGACGTAAATATATGCTTAAATCTCTCAGAGAGACATTAATCCGTCTGAGATAAAGGTATAGAATATACTTGTCTCAAACTTGAGTTTTATAATTAATTTATCTTTGCAATATGATACACCATTCATTTTACAAACCTTGAATATTAAATCTGACAGAATACCAAAGATCAACGGAATCAGATTGCAAAGATATAAAGATCAGAAAAATTGAGTTTGAAGCGAGTACTTTTCTCTCCTAATCTAGCGGCGTCTGAAGAGAAAAGTAAAGATGTGACTAGTTGTAAACTTTAGGTGGAGAGTCATCCTGTACCCAATACATACTATTGGAGCTTTAAACCAAATAATCAAACCAAATTTAGTCGGATAGCTGACACAGGTTAGAATACCTTTTTATATCAAACTAAACTATTCTATGAAATTCATAAAAATAGAGATAAAATGTCCAGAACTAAAGCACTTTTTGTTTATGATGAACTAGAGTTCTTTTTGCTGTAAAGGGACTAATGTATAATTTTAAATACCCCCCATTTAAAGATTTTCATGCCCAATGTACTGCTGAAAAAAAACTTTTTCAATAAAGGAAAATGTCAGCATCTAAAGCTTTTATTGCTGCTCGAGTTCTAAGGGTACAATAAATTGTGAATCAGACATGCCAATTCTCTAAAAAGGGGTACTTTTTTTAATGCTCCTAAATATAAAACAAACTTTTGACTTCTAATCAGTTCTACATGACAATAATCCAATGGTGAAATAATACTAGAGGACACCTATATATAAATTTGGCTTGTCTGTCTGTTTTCTTATAATCAAGAATGCGCAAGGAATTTTCTCAGAGAAACCGCAAATTAAATAAACAATTCAAAATTAAAATTACCTTTTCAGTCCCTTTAAAAGAATTTGTGTATTTTATGCGACAATATTTATCTAGAATCTGAAAAACTGCATGGTTTTTTTTTACTGTAAACCAAAGAATTTTAATGTAAAGATAGTTATTTCAGAGGTGTACGTATTTTTTGTACTGCAGTGTACTGTCTCTCAGTGCGAATTTGAAAGAGTATCCTTGGACAAAACTCCCGAGTTTCCTTTTTTGGGGTCTTCTTAACATTTGTGTAGATTTTGATATAAGAGATTCGAAAAAAAATTGAGAATATAAACAAACTGAATAAAATAATAATACAAATCAATGAAATATTCTGGTCACAGGAAACTACTTTGTGAAATATCAAAATTATCACTATTTAATGCATTTTTTCCTCCTCGGGCACTAAAGGAGCACTGATGCATCTATCCTTGTTTTCAAATACTGCCCAGAGAGAACTGGTTTCAATATGTAAGCAGAGAATACGCAACCGCAATTAACTTTCCTTGACTTATTACCTTGCTAGTAACTAAGTTTTAAACTACTTTAATACAGCTGCAGGAACCATTTATCTCTGCCGTATCCTTGCATATAAAATACAGCTGCAGGAACTATTTGTCTCTGCCGTATCCTTGCATAGAAAATACAGCTGCAGAAACTTTTTGTCTCTGCCGTATCCTTGTAAATATTCTGGTCATAGGAAACTACTTTGTGAAATATCAAAATTATCAAAATTTAATGCTTTTTATCCTTCTCGGACACTAAAGGAGCACTGATGCATCTATTCTTGATTACAAATTCCGCCCACAGAAAACAAATGTACGTAGAGAATATGCAACCGCAATTAACTTTCTTTGTCTTATTACATTGCTAGTAACTAAGTTTTAAACTACTTTAATACAGCTGCAGGAACCATTTATCTCTGCCGTATCCTTGCATAGAAAATACAGCTGCAGGAACCATTTGTCTCTGCCGTATCCTTGCATAGAAAATACAGCTGCAGGAACTATTTGTCTCTGCCGTATCCTTGCATAGAAAATACAGCTGCAGGAACTTTTTGTCTCTGCCGTATCCTTGCATAGAAAATACAGCTGCAGGAACTATTTGTCTCTGCCGTATCCTTGCATAGAAAATACAGCGGCAGGAACTATTTGTCTCTGCACGTATCCTTGCATAGAAAATACAGCTGCAGGAACTATTTGTCTCTGCCGTATCCTTGCATAGAAAATGCAAACATTAAGTGTTTAACAATTAAGCTGAAAATTCAAACCATTTCGTTGAAAAACTTTTCTGATGTGAAATGATAAAAAAATATTTTCTTAAACTTTTAAAATTGTTCAATTTAGACTAAGTTTGAAATTTAGAAGTGGAATATTTTACATAGTTGATGCAAAAACTTTCCTAGGAATTATTATTTTTCCAAATGAAAACAAAGTTTTGAAGTTCTTAGCTAGCAATTAAATAAGTTTTGAGAATAGAGTTCTGAATAAAAGTAAATCAAAGATATCTGAAAAGGATTTTAACTGTACCCCTATTTCTAGTCGGGGTATGATTTTTAAAAGCTCAGCTATCAAAGTTCAACTAATAGTTTATTTCGATTTGAAATTCTGATAATAAAATAAAAATGTCATTACTCTCTTTAAGAATGTAGCACTGCACGTATAGGCATTGTACACAGTTGTTAGATTTACAAAAATCTTATTTAAAAAGACTGATTACATATTTTCAAATTACTCATTTATAGAGTGGCATATCAGGCTCTCAAGGTATACCCTTAAAAGCTTTGTCTGGACAAGAATGAATAAGATATCAATGTTTTTCTCTTTACAGATTTATTATTTTTGATTGTGATTTCTTTATAAAACTGAAATGCGCCAGACACGGGCAGCAACAGTACATTTGAATTTCCGAGCCGGGTTAACCTTTCCGTTCCCAGTTTGCACTGTATCGCCCAGACATTGGGTAAATAAAGTTGACACTAAATAGGACTAGCCGGTGCAACAAGGTTGACGCGGTCAGACTTTTGGTTAAATTTACTTTTACTAAAGGGTCAGAGGTACGTGCTCAGCTGCACTATACAGAAAAAATGAAACACTTAATAAAATTAAACAGTTTTCAAGCTAGAAAAAGCGGAGATATTCTCCACATTGTTGATCAACAAAGGTTTCTATAGATATGTTGTCATATACCTCTCTTTAAATGTAAGTACCTTGAAATCAAATCAGCAGTCCCTTTATATAGAATGTTATTTAAGCTCAGAAGAAACTGATTTTTAATTAGCTTTTCTAGTTTATATTTAATATACAAATATAAAGTCAAAACTTAATTAAAAGTATTACAACAAGAAAATGCAAACTATAGAATAACAAGAACCACAGTTTATTCGTTTTCCCGTTTGCCAAATCTAAATTATTCTTTATGAGCAATTTTTTAATTACCAAAAATTATTTAACATTAACATTTCTGTAATTTAACAGCTTTAAATTTTTAAAAAACCTATGAAAAGTGCATATAAAAAGTGTATATAAAAGGTGTTTATAAAAAGTATGTATAAAAAGTGTATTTAAAAAGTGTGTATGAAAAGTGTGTATGAAAAGTGTATATAAAAAGTGTATATAAAAAGTGTGTATGAAAAGTGTATATAAAAAGTGTAAATAAAAAGCATAAAGCATATAAAAAGATATTCCAGATTAACTAAGTTTTGAAAATATTTGTAGTTTTTCCTGATTACATAATAAAAACCAGGTTTTTAAATGATATTTTGCCATTTTTATTTTGCGTAAATTTGTTTGTAATTTTACTGTTTTATTATATATTTTTGCAAATTTGCAACACTTAGGAAGGTTTTCATATACAGATTGAAGGCTGTCCAAAAATGTATGGAATGTATGGAATTTGATATTGAGTTACAATTGATAATCTCAAATTTAAAGAAAGTAAATTCTGCTAACACTGCTATCACAAAATCTATTTTCTAAACACTATTCTGATAGAATTTTTATATAAACGAAAATTTAAATTTTCTTTGCCATAATTAACATATTTTTAGATGCAGAAATAGATTTTTTCGTGAAAACTGAAAAAGATTTTGGCTCTGTTGGATGTCGAGCTGAGAACTCTATTGGAATTCAAGAACAACCTTGTTTGTTCCTCCTGCACCCAAGTATCAGGTAAACTTAAAGGGACTGTACCCTAGTATCAGGTAAACTTAAAGGGACTGTACCCTAGTATCAGGTAAACTTAAAGGGACTGTACCCTAGTATCAGGTAAACTTAAAGGGACTGTACCCTAGTATCAGGTAAACTTAAAGGGACTGTACCCTAGTATCAGGTAAACTTAAAGGGACTGTACCCTAGTATCAGGTAAACTTAAAGGGACTGTACCCTAGTATCAGGTAAACTTAAAGGGACTGTACCCTAGTATNATTTGTTTAGTCCAAGTCAGCTGACAGAATGTATAGTGAGAAACATCAGTTATCAGTCCATTTACATCTCATGTTCTAAACTCCAAGATCTTGGTAAGCTTTTATTTAGTGAAAGGGATTGAGAATCATTTCCGATTCCCAATAGTACCCTTTAGACCTTTAGATTATCAACAATATGGGAGATATCGTCAGTTTTCTAAATTGATATATGATCAATTTTGAAAGATAAGATAATGGATTCTTTCTCTCGTTTTTGACCAGACAAAGCTCATTCATGAGTCCTTTTAACTAAATACTCCACATATATTCAGCCTCCTGTATAAAAAGTCTCATCAATATTTAGAACAGGGTCGACTTTGTCTCGTAACACCTTTGGCTTTGATTTTACCGCCCAACTCACTCATGCTTTTCTGTAGCCCTTTACATGTGCTTTTTAGCACTATAAAGCACGTGTTGTTAGCTTTAGTTTTCAAGAAGTAATTGTCATTCTCATCGATTTTATCTTGAGAGCGTGAGACCTTTAAATCTCAGTGATTCTTATCCATTTATCTTTGTGAAATGGCTTTACAAATTTTCAATACTTTGCAGTTTGCAGAGCTTGATTAATGATGTAAAAAGGTCACACAGCAATGATGGATTATTATATTCTTTAAAAAAGGGGTTTTCAAATTTTCATGATCACACAGAAATGAAATTAAAAATCTGAAACACAAATGATATTTTTTCCCGTTTTAAAATATATTCAACGTTGAGAAAAGATTTCAAAAGAAAGAATTTTTAGATAATTAGAAGTAATATCGAATGCCCGAAATTATTTTGAAACTACGAAATGAAACCATTTTCAGAAATTTTTTTTTTACTTAATTCTTGATAAAATTCTCATTTATCTTTATAAACACTTAGTATACATAGATAAATCCATAGATATAGATATATTTATATTTCAGTGATATCCAGCAATCTATATATTAATTAAAATCAATTTTCAAGACTGGGTATACTTTGAAGTGTCGCAAACACCTTGTGGCCTTGAACTTTTTGTTGTCCTAAACTATTGTTATAAATAAATTTTTGTTAGCTTTTGTTAGCTGTTAAAAATCTTATTGATTTTTGCGTGAGAGCTGGCAAAATTTTTATTCCCGGCTAGACTCTTATAAAATGTCCTTCTTTAAAGAGATCACATGTTTGTGTCTCTTTTCTTAGTGTTGTACAAAATAGCGGAAATGCAGCAGCATTAGGTTTTTTTAAATGAATAAAAACAATGGAACTACTTTAAATATCCTTGTTTTTATACAAAACAAAAGTTTTTATTTGAGTTGAGACAAAACTGCATCATAGAGTTTAAAGGGATTGTAAGCGTAATTTAAAGTTACTCATGCAAAGATGGCACCGTCCGATTAACAACTCTACCCTTAAAAGCTTTGTCTGACCAAGTATTAATTAGATATTGGTTTAAGATTTTTAATACTGATTATATTGGGGCTCTGATGTTTGCAGTTTTAAAAAGTGATTATTTCAATTGTAATTTCTCTACAAAAATACTACAGGAAAATAAATGGGAATTATCAAAATTAAACACTTTTGAATCTATCATAACAACAATCTTTAAATATCTTCCACATTACTGATCAGATAAAGATTTAAGGGTACCGAGCGTTGTGAATCTGGCATTGTTATCTTTGTATGGAGGTTAACTCGAAATTACGGGTTCAGTCCCTTTGAGCTCTATTTATTTAGATTAAATCTTTTAAACAATGACTGGCAAATATTTCGAAACTTTAGCGGGGGTGGAAATTGTTTTCAACATTTCACAGAATAATTTCAAAGGAATTGAGTCTTTGCCACAAACTCCAATTTATGTGTTATCAACCTGATGGTTTAAACTTTTGAAATATCAAACTTGGACTATTTGGTCCGCCACAGCTAATCTAAGGTCTGCAATATTGAGTTGCAAAGACACAGGGATCAGTAGAAAATAAATTCCTTTTATTACGTTTTTTTTCAAATAAAACAGTTAATACGATTTTATGACTTTTATTCCTTGAAGTTCCTAAAAAGCCTGTTTTTAATTGTCCTATGTACAATGTGATGAAATTCCCCCTAGCAACCCACTTTTCAAAGTTTCCATTAAAACACCGGAAATTTTATTTTAAAAGACAATCAGAGGCAGAATTTAAAGAATTTGAGCCACGGCTAAAATTTGAGACGCTCAATTGAAACCAGATTTTGGCGGATTTAAGACGCGGCCTAAATTCATTAAATTTGGACTCAGATGTAATGCAACAACTTTTCGGAAAATTCAACTTCCTCTGGAAATATCCCTGTTATATAAAGAAAAAATATTGTTAAAAGCATATCAAACGACAAAACAAAATAGATACAAAACTTATTAACAACTAAACATATGAAACACAAATCATATTTCAAAACATATTAAACACAATCATATCCAACACAAAATATGTTGACAACAAAGAACATAAAACACACAAAATATGTTGACAACAAAGAACATAAAACACACAAAATATGTTGACAACCAAGAACATAAAGCACACAAACTATCTAATGCAAGATTTTAAGGAAACAAAGAACTTTAAAAATTCCCTGATTTCTATATTTACAGATTAGATCATTTAATACTTTATAAAAATTTTCAACAAGAATAGTTTTTTTTGTATAATATCATGTCAATCTAATTCAATTATAAAATTATTTTATTATATTATCATTACTTAATTTTTATAAGTTTTATTTAGAGCCTGAAATAGCCGCTGAACTGGATATACTTTACTTGGGAGAGATAAGTTCAGCTAGCATCCAGACCAAACCTATTCAGATTCAGGACCACATTGGATCTAATAATATGAAACTTTACATGCTTGATATGTTTCTTACCTTTAATGGAGTGGGATTTTTGATTCACAACATTGCCCTGAAAACCTTTGTCTGTCCATGAATGAATGGCAAATCTATAAATTAAACACTTTTTAAACTAGAAAAATTATATAATTTGCTATAAATTTATAGAAGAGATATTTAGCTAAATCAAATAATTTAAAACGAGCGCGCAAAAATTGAAAGATTTTTTCTTAAAGCAATGTTTATTAAGCAAATGCAGAGGGCAAATTTCTTCAGGAAGACAAAATTTATGGCGTACACATGCCGCTGTGCATTTAAGAAAAATTGCGCGTTATTCAGATTTTATTTAGCAAGCACTCAATCGGTTTAGCTTATTTGGCTTTTAGTTTTAGCTTATTTGCAGTGATATTGAAAAGATGACTAGACGGCTTTGGGTAAGTAGCAGCCGGGTTGAGAGAGGTAATCAAGTTCTAGTCACACTTCCGTTTTGGTTTGGCCTAATAAGCAGAGCGCAAAGCTCTCGAGGTTGTAGCATAAATTTTAGAGCGGAAAAGGCTGGTTTTAGATTCCTTTTTTCAAATATAGTAGCATATAGTTTTAAATAATGCATAGGTAAATTTATTTTTCTAGGGCTATGCAAATTATGTTTTTGACGTAGCAATCTCCAAATCTCAAAGCGGAGTCAAAAATGACAATTTGTTTTCTTAACAGATAAAGGTTTCAAGGATACCGGCGGTGTGAATCTGACATGCCCTTATTTCAATGGAGGGTCACTTTTAAATATAACATTTTAATGAGCTTGAAAACAAACGTGTAAAATGTTGGACTGAGAACTTTAATACTTGTCAAGTCCGTTCATATGTATTAGCCATACATCGAAAGAATTCATCAAATGTCGTATTCTTCACTTTCTGATAATGTAGTGTTGCTTAGTTTTTTAATTAAATGCTTATATGAAGCTTTATAAAACTGTTCCCGCATATTCATGATGGCGTAGATCACAGGTATTTCAATGAACATGACGGATATTGGGTGTGGTTACCATATCAGAATATTTTAAAGAATGTTTTTGCTTAGTCGGAATAAAATGACTTAAAAAAATAACAAAAAAGGTTTTTATCAACAAAAAAAGAGATATATCATACAACCCGTTAGTTTTATTTAAAGGGACTGTCAGACGTTTTTTCCGTAATTCAAACCTTTGTCTTTTCAACGATAATGGAAATATTTTTCTATTTGAACATTCAGTACTGCAGGTAACTTGAGTGCACTTTGGCCCGAGTGCATACTCTTATAAACATCTTTGCATTTAAAATCAGAAATTGCGTTAATATATCCTTGGTGCATTTTACAGAATTCCAGGCCTGAGTTTTGGTTTGCTAATCTTGAATCTGAACAACTTTATACAATTAAACTTTATACACAAACAAGTAAAGGTAGTTTTTTATAATCGTTAATAAGTCTTTAAAAGTGCATTTTATACATAATTTTACTATACGTATAAACCCGTCAACTTTGAAGGGTTCAAGAAAGTTTTAAAATTTGAAATAGAATTGCAATACGTTCCAGGTTTTAGTTCTATATTCTATTAAGAATTAAATTGAGTCTTTGCCACAAACTCTGATTTTTTAATCCCTACATCTTTGCAATACAATGCCACGGACCATAGCTGTTTCAATTTATAAAGTTTATTAGATCGAATAATCTAAGTTTGAAATATCAGAGGTCTACACCATAAGATTGCAAAGATATAAGGATTAAAACATTTGAACATTATAATTAAATACAGAACGTGCGTAACAACATATTTGGATAAAAACAGTATTACCACAAAAGAATTATCATAATTTTATTATTAGTGATTGTACTAAAATTATAAAGTTATAGGAAAATTCGATTTCTGAATTTCTTTTTAGGAATAAAGAGGGTTATTTTTGATCAGAGTATTTAAACCTAATGGCTGATCGACTGCAACAATAAATTTTGTAAACATGCCGAAAAAATGTCAAAGTTTTTTTTTTCCTATTTAAGAATATTTTCACAAAATTGTTTCTTTGCAAATTCTTTTTGTTTGGTATATTCTTTTCTCTGATGCAAAACTATCTCACTACATTTATCAGCTCTCAAGCAAACAATGGCTCTACTATATTGGTTGGAACCTGACACAAATACTGCCTATTGCTACCATTACTTGGTCTCGGTTTTTATTCAAAGTTTTACTGAACGACGTGTTTGTTCTTCTTAAAATACTTTCTAGTGTTTTACAAAAATGGTGCCAAGCCAACCCTCTTTTATCAATTGTGATTTTTAATCTGTTTCATCAAAGTTTTTATTCAAATTAACAAAATTATTGAGATTTAATAATTACACATTTAAGTAATCCTTTATCTTTAGAATTCTTTAAACGGAAAATCTGCAACATTTTCAAAATTGCTATTTCTTGAAAAGAAATTGAGTCCCTGCTATGAACCCAGATTTTAAAATCCCTTTATCTTTGCCATCTGATGACACAAACTTTTTATATTTTACACTTATGTTATATGAGCTAACAGTAGTCACAGTTTTAAATATATTAGGTCTATAACATTGTGTTGTCAAAAATTAAGGTTTAGAAAGGGGCGCTTCAAACCAAGTATAATATTTACTTTCACTGTTTTTAAAAGAACTTTTTTGTTGAATTTAGGATCTGGACCCTATACTTGGCTTGAAATTGAGACTTTGAAGAATGATCAGAAACCTTTAGCTATTCTTAGCAGTATTCAGGTTTAAATATAATTAAGTTAATGTGTAATATTAGCAATATTCAGGTTTAAATATAATTAAGTTAATGTGTAATATTAGCAGTATTCAGGTTTAAAAATAAATAAGTTAATGTGTAATACTAGCAGTATTCAGGTTTAAATACAATTAATTTAATGTGTAATATTAGCAGTATTCAGGTTTAAATATAATTATTTTAATGTGTAATATTAGCAATATTCAGGTTTAAATATAATGAATTTAATGTGTAATATTAACAGTATTCAGGTTTAAATATAATTAAGTTAATGTATAATATTAGCAGTATTCAGGTTTAAATATAATTAAGTTAATGTGTAATATTAGCAGTATTCAGGTTTAAATATAATTAAGTTAATGTGTAATATTAGCAGTATTCAGGTTTAAATATAATTAAGTTTATGCGTAATATTTGCAATATTTAGGTTTAAATAATTAAGTGAATGTGTAATATTAGCAGTATTCAGGTTTAAATATGATTAAGTTAATGTGTAATATTAGCAGTATTCAGGTTTAAATATAATTAAGTTAATGTGTAATATTAGCAGTATTCAGGTTTAAATATAATTAATTTAATGTGTAATATTAGCAGTATTCAGGTTTAAATAATTAATTTGATGTGTAATATTTGCAATATTTAGGTTTAAATAATTAAGTTAATGTGTAATATTAGCAGTATTCAGGTTTAAATATAATTAATTTAATGTGTAATATTAGCAGTATTCAGGTTTAAATATAATTAAGTTATTGTGTAATATTAGCAATATTCAGGTTTAAATGTAATTAAGTTATTGTGTAATATAAGCAATATTCAGGTTTAAATAATTAAGTTAATGTGTAATATTTGCAATATTCAGGTTTAAATGTAATTAAGTTATTTTGTAATATTGGCAATATTCAGGTTTAAATATATAATAAAGTTAATGTGTAATATTAGCAATATTCAGGTGTAAATATAATTAAGTTATTGTGTAATATAAGCAATATTCAGGTTTTAATATAATTAAGTTAATGTGTAATATTAGCAGTATTCAGGTTTAAATATAATTAAGTTAAGTTAATGTGTAATATTAGCAATATTCAGGTTTAAATATAATTAATTTAAGTTAATGTATAATATTAGCAATATTCAGGTTTAAATATAATTAAGTTAATGTGTAATATTAGCAATATTCAGGTTTAAATATAATTAAGTTAGTGTGTAATATTAGCAATATTCAGGTTTAAATATAATTAAGTTAATGTGTAATATTAGCAATATTCAGGTTTAAATAAAATTAATTTAAGTTAATGTGTAATGGGTCTGTAAGAAAAATCTCAAGAGTGACCTTCCATGCAAAAATCCCGGTACTTTTCGAATGTTTATCAATTTTTCGAGACATTTCTTATTTTACCTTAATAGCCCCTTTAAACTATTCATTTTTGTTTGCAGTTTCTCTACGAAACTACATTTCTTTCTAGCTTATTAGAAGAAATAGAGAAATCATCAGAATTGAACACTTTTCGAGTTAGAAAAACGCTTGTATCTACCAAATTTTTTATTAGATTAAAGTTTCAAGGGTACCGTTGTAAATCTGGCATTGTCATCTTTGCATAGAGGGTAATATGAAATTACGCTTACAGTCCCGCGCTAATTACAGATATACATAAGGTTTTGCATAATCTACACAACATTTAGCAAATATTATCGGAAAGTTATTTGCTCTGAATTTTATCAAACACGAATAAAAGTATTTTCGCAGAATTTTATGAAGAAATTATCAAATTCATTTTATTGAAGAAAGCTGTAAGAAAAAATCCCAGATATGTTTTTGTGGTTTTAACCGATAGGATTTTGAATTTACGATAATTTTTTCCGAATTTGTTGACAGAATGTTAGTGATAGTAATATCATCGCAAACTTTAAATCGCTATTTTGAGTTTAATTATCGTAATGTCCATATTTTTAGGATGGGTACTTTGATACAGTTACTTTCCTAGGCATACTTTTAGGTAATTTTTGACATTTTCTGCTTTCAGACCAATACCCTATTTTTTTAAATTGTTAAAAAAAATCAATACATTAAACAAAAAGTCCATTTACATTTAAAGGGTTACCCTTAAAAAATTAGACTTCAAAGAGGACTGTAAGGAATATATACAGAGTACAATCTGTGGGTTTTCTGTAATTTTATATTTTTTAGTTGTTCTCTACTATTTTTTCTCTACAGAGGTTTGGTCCATCACCATCACCGAATTTTAAATTAGTTGTCATCGTTAAAACAGACTGGAAACCATACAGAGTTTTATGTTTCAATGAATATTAAATGTTCATTTTTAGGACATAATTTCGAAACGAACTTGAAAATATATCTGGCTTCCAGATGCAAGGAATTTAAATGTAAAAACAGGAACTGCTACTCATGAAATTTGTAAATCTTGTAAACCACTCTGTAACATATTATCGCCGACAATTGGATTTTTTAGTCCTCGGGTTTCTCCTTTCCTTCCTTTTTCCCTCTGTTATTCACCCTTTCTCCTTTTTTCTTTTTTTTAAATCACTTTGTGCTTTGTGTAATGTATTAGTTATTTGTTGATTTCAAAAATATAAATGTATCAATAAAATTTTGGAGGGTAAGGCGCCAACCAATCAAAACAACCAAAAGTGGTTAAGCTGTAGCCAACGCAAGTGCTTGTTTAGTTATAAATTATAAAATTAAAAATGTAATTATTGTGAGTTTAACCGAAGTATACATCTATCTATCTAGCTATCTATCTAATTTTCAAACCTATATACGAAATGTTTTGAATTGTTTATGCGGTTAGCCAAATATACCATTAAATTTTCAGTTCCCGAAATAAAAAATTAGACGACAACTCGAGCATTAGAATTTAATTTTGTTTGACATTTCCGAAATTTTGTAAACTTCTCCGATCGATGGATACAAAGCAAAAAGAGTTATTGCACTAAGATTAAGTGCATTACATTTTTTTTGCACAAAAAAGAGAGTTTTTTTTTAAATTTAAGAAAAAAGTTTTTTTTTATAGTGCAATCTGCTTGCAATAGATTGCTTTTTTGAATTGTAAAGGTGGAGAGATGGGATGGGCCCCCCCCCCATCCCACAATTTCATATTCTTCCTGAGAAAACTTTAGATTGTTTTAGTTTTCCAAATATAGATGAGTTCTACTCACCTTTTTTTGTGTTCAGAAATGTAACATAACTTTAAAATCTTAAGAATGTTATTTTATTTTGCGAAACCCAGTATAACATTTTTCAGGTGGATGTGTAACCTTGACGTTAACTGTTGTTGGTCTACTGTGGGGGATCCATAGATCAAGATCTAGGTCATTTATATTTTTTTATTGTAAATTCATAATATTAAAAAGGGTCTGCGATATAATTTCTAGTGATACTCCATTTAAAGTTAAATGCACGATTCTAAACAGCACCCTCTCCTTATTTTTCCATGTGAAATGTCAAATTTTTCGATCCTGAAGACACCAAATTTTGAGTACTGTTGTGAATCAGACAATCTAAAATGACAGGTTACATATAATATCATCTACAGTTCCTTTTTAAATTTTATTTTAGACCTTACCAGACTGTTATGGAGACTGTTTCGGAACAGAAATCTGATTGGGAGAAACAGAAAGAGAAAGAAAGAGGAGGAGAAAGAATGGAACCGGAACAGAATAAGTTGCAAGAAGGAAGATACAGTTGCAACGGAAACAAAGCTAATATTCCTCATCCTGATGGAATTAGCCATATTGGTATGTTTTATCTGAAACTCTACTTAATTTTGTGAGACTCCCCTTTTGATATGAGGCAAAATGTGTCCAAGATTGGGAACTGCATTTCCGCGGCCCAGGACCGGATATCCAAGAAATATTTCTGATTTAAAAATGCATTTGATTAAATGACTTGAATTTCTCCTTCCTTTACTGAGAATACCAGTATATCGTGTACTGTAAATAAATACTCACTGAACTTCCAGAGAGAAAAAATGCCCCACAAAGATCCAGACTTGGTCGACTTTAAAGTGTCGCAACGCCCTAATCTATAGTTTAACATCACATTCTCTAGCTTACTTTAACTTGTTTTTAGTCCATAATTGCACTTGTTTTAAGCTTTCGCTTTTTAAAATGGTATTCTTAAACTTTTCTTTGTATTCTCATATCTCTTTAAAAATCACATTTTTTTTGCCGTGTTCCGACTTTTTTAATAAATTCCTGAAATATTTTGAACATTTTTTTGTAGGATGTTTTCAAACTACCACAGAATTTTTGCATACGGAGTATAAAGAAAACAGCANACAGTGTAAGTATCTTTTTTTGGCGAGAAGTAAATTGCAAAAACTATGCATTTATCAAGAAACTTGGTAAAAAGGAAATATATACAACAACAACATTTCTTTAAATGGACTTTTGTTTTAATTGTGAGTTTCATTTTTAATCTGCCATTTCCAATTGACCGGTTCCTATAAGAATATTGTCGGTTCAAGAAGGGCAGAGATATCCGAACTTTTCAGGCCGAAAAAAAGATGGCTCGGGAGAAGCAGTCTTCACTCCGTCAAATATTTACCAAAAAGGAACTCAATCTATAGCTAGAAAAATAAGGATATTTGCTTTTGCATTAAAGAGATACAACAACATGTGGAGGTTATAAACTTGTATAATCCTTTTTATGAACTCTTTAATTCATTAATTGCAGTGAGTTGAGCTTATTTTACAGATAATAAGTTAGAAGAATTATGTTCTTTTATGTATTAAATGGATTAAGTAAACCCCTTTTTAAAAACTAAAGGGTACCGTAATGAATCGCGCGGACATAAAATTGTGTCACTTGAAATAACGTGAAGAGACCCTTAGAGACCAACAGACGTTGTCTGCATTTTCCATCAATAATCCCTCAGATGTTATAGATCATGTTTTGTAAAGCTAAACACAAGATGATAAACGATAAGCCTTTTGCAAAGTTTTTTTTCTTTCAAATTTGCAATGAATAATGGTGTACGCAGCAATGAATTTAAATACAACTGCTTAGTGTTGGCAAAATATTTGCAGTCTGCAAAATAAATGATCAAATGATAAATGTGCTCCACTAGCAAGAACATCTATTTATATTTTGCTGTTCAGTCTGTTTGTGTCTATTAAACGTTAGGCAACTCGCATGACCGAAAGGAAGGTTTATGGTTTTTTTAATGCACCAATTTAAATAGAGAAATCTGCGAAAATTTGAGAACAAATAAAAATAGCGATAAAACGGCTATTATTTTCAAAGAAAGGGGGAACCCTTTAAAGCCCATATGATTTTAAATTTTTTCAATAAAATTGTTAAGAAACATCTTGACCATTGCAAATTGCTTATGCATTATTATTCATTTAATACTGCACCTTTTTAACCTTTGTATGATCATTTTTGACTGAGATATTCAATTTTTTCCGGTTTCAAATTGACTGACCGAAAGTACTGAATCAGTTTAGCACGAAATCAAATTTTGATGTACCCTGTCATGTCCATGCCCTCTTCCCTTTGAAGAAAACTTGTATTACATGAATTAAAATAATGTACTTTGATTTATCTGAAACAAAGTTTTCTCTTCTGTCTAATTTGATTCTCAATTTCTTGTTAAAGTTTGTTACACTTTCTTCATTGAAGATATTTTATACCAGACATAAGTCTGGTAGGTGGGAAGGTACCTGAATTCATAACTAGCACACCTAAAGATACTATTATTATTGTATATTTTATTCCAATTGATAAAAACATTGCTGAATTGTTTGTGAACCCCGCTATAGATGGTATGCGGGACTAAAGTATATTCTCCAACCCCTTCTTGAAGTACAATTCAGATATTCTTCCTGGTTTAAAATCAGTTCCTGCTTCATCAACGCATTATTGAACTTAGTTCATACAGTTTCCAAATTCAACAAAGGAATTGAGTCTTTGTCACAAACTATGATTTTCTAATCTCTATATCTTTGTAATCCAATGCCGTAGACCTTAGATATTTCAAACTATGAATTCTGTTAGATGAAAAAATCCAAGTTTTAAATATCAAAGGTTTACACCATCAGGTGGAAAAAATATAGGTATTAGAAAATCAGAGTTTGTTACAAAGACTCAATTCCTTTTCTTTCGATATATGAGAAGAAATATTACATCTAAAAAAGTGAAGTGTTAAGTAAAAACCTAACATAACCTGAACAGTGAACACTCATAATTTTGAACCAAATAAGCAAAATTTTTAAGTGCTTTAGTTTCTCGATATTCTGAGCAAAATCATTTATTGTCAGATTAAATAACAAAGAAAATATGATTATTTCAGAATACATATTGCACAATATACATATTCCCTGGATAATAGTTTCCAAGGTTAAATATCTATTTATTCATCTACAATAATCATCTTTACACCAGGTCTTTCATGTAGTATATCTATAAGTACCACATGGATATATATCTATCTAGACTATATAGTCGCGCCCATTCTCTATTTTAACTTATTATCGTGGCTTCAACTTATTATCTGTGAGCATCTTTTCTTTGTACAGTATAAAACAGCAACAAAACAAATTTGTGGATTGAATTTTTTTTTTCAAATTTTTTGAATTTCACAAAATTTGGAAACAAAGGAATTGATTCTTTGCCACAGTCTAAAATTGCCTCACCCTTATATCATTGCAACCTACTCGTGTAAACTTTTGATATTTCAAACTTATAATATTTGATCTAACAGAATCAATAGTTTGAAATATCTAGAGTGTACGACATTGTGTTGCAAAGATGAAGGGATTAAAAAATCAGAGTTTATGACAAAGACTCAATTCCTTTTTATAATACTGAGCATCTCTTGTTTGTATGTTTGGTTGTTTGTTAAATTGTATATCCGATCATAACTCAGAAACCCCTTAACCAATTTGTATTACATTTTTTTGGGGAACGCGGTTGAACCACGGGAATTTATATTACCTTAGAACTAAACTTTCCCTGACTTTATCAAGAATGTTAACCACCATACTTCAGTGTGGTTTAAGAGCTTAAAGGTTAAATTTGAAAGAAAAAATTTAGATAATAGGCAAAACTGGGCACGTTCTAAAGCTAATATTATGTGAAGAAGGTTAGATGTAAATTAAATCTTCAGTAAATCTTTCTAAAAAAACTTGATTAAATTTTGTAAACCGAACCAAAGTGAAACATGTGTAAAATTGATATTTATATTTATGAACCGATTTAAGAAAAAAATCAATTTTTCTGAGGATTCCTATTATCGAAGTTCGAAACTCTTGTGTGAGAGAACACTAATCTTCAATGCTAGAGCTCAATCTCCACTAAGACAAATTGAGAGATGAGTGTTTGATCCTTCATTTTTAGTTATGACCCTGTTGGGTTTAATCGAGTTTCGACCATAGGATATCCTACAGGAATAATTCTGATTCTTTGAACGATAAAAAGAACAGGATTTATTCACTTTCCAGTGATTAAGAACACAAAAGCTTTTTTCTCAATTGTCGTGCATTCAAGGTGTAATCATGAAAACTTTAGATATCCAAAATGTATCTTCATGCATTTTTTTGTATTTCAGACCCTGAGGTTTCCTTCGGATAGTGAAAAAGACATCCCTTTCTATCTGGATGGTGATCTTACATTCATAACTAAGTCTAGAAAAAGCTCTGTAAATGGAGAAAAGGTTGGAATACAAACTGTAGCTGGAATAGAGGTTGGAGCCGGAACTAAACTACAGACTGGAGCTGGAACTGGAGCTAGACCCAGATGTCAATACGGAAGCTTGGAAAGATATCCACAGCAGCAGCAGCAGAAAATTAGTATGAGACTTACTGAACCCAGAACCATCGGTAAGAAACCGGTTAGATGTTAAAGGGAGTGTTCGCGAAAAATGAAAGGGGGTATAGGCTTAATGCGATAAAAAAGCGCTTTTGATCGCTACTAATCTTACTTCTATCTGTTGCGTCTATAAGGAGAAACTTGTTAAAGACGTCTCATACCGAATAACTTAGCGCCCATACAAATTGAGAAAATTGCATTATACGACTTAGACCGTAAGAAAATCAATTTAATTTCAAACAAATCATTTAGATATTACAACCTATAGTCATCGATTATCTTTCGCCACATTTGTATATAGTTTATATTTTATAATATTTTTTAATTAATTTTAAATACAAAAGAACTGAACACTATAATCTTTACAACCTGGACCTTGATGTTTAAAATTATGAATTCTGTTCAAATGTTAATGCAAAATTTAAAAAAAACTACACATCAAGATTAAAAACAAGATAAATGGTTTTTTATTACCATTTTTTGTTATAAATTAAACCCCTAGAAATATACAAAAGAAACAAATGAATAAAATTAAAGAATAAAGCTATTCAATGAAAACTTTCTTTTCCAACTTAATGTTGAACATAATATTTAATTGTGAAAGAAAAGTGGGTCATTTCCGGTAACACTTAACATTTTTTTACGAATAAGAGGAATTTGAAAACAAAATTTCATCCATTAAGCAAACTATTGACCTAAACTTAAATTAATAAAATTAGGCTTTTCGGGACTTTCGCGCCCACTTTCTATTTCAACATGCAATTGTAACTTAATCTGTGAGCATTTTCTCTCTGTACAAATATAAAACAAAATCAAAAAGAGTTCGCGGATTTCATAATATTTTTTATCGCATTTTTTAAATTTGACAAAAATAAAAAAAACTATTAAACACAAATCTTTAAAATTTGATCATTCATAACCCTTCCCTGGGGTCACGCGATGTCTAACACAAAATTTGGGCCCGCGGTTCAGCCGTTTTGACGTTTATTGCATACAAACAAACAAACACCCACCCAGACAAGCAAAGTATATACATAGGTGACATACCCTATCCACAACGGCAAAGTTAAGTTCTTAACCAGGTTAACCCTGAGAAAATGTGATCGTTTTTCTTTCTTCAAAAGATCTCACAATTCGCTGATTTTAATCATTTTCTCTGGTAGTGGTGCTTGATTCCGCAATTCACTTTTACTGAGAACCACGATTAAAAATGATTGAATCAAGGATAAATCAAATAATGTTAAAATGTTAAAGTTTTGAATCAAAGGAATTAAGTTTTTACCACAAACTCACATTTTATACTCCTTATATCTTTGCAACCTGTCGGAGTAAACCATTGATATTATAAACTTAGATTATTTGATTTAACAGAAATAATAGTTCGAAATATCTAATGTCTACGCCATCGAGTTGCACAGTTATAGGGGTATAGAAAGTTTATCGAAGGTTTATATACCATCGGAATACAAAGATATACCAATACAAAATTGAAGTTTGTGACAAAAAACTCCGATTCTTAAGAACCAATTTCGATGACAGTCCCTTTACCTGTAGGTAGAATACCTGTTGTGCGATCAGCTATGAAAGCAAATGAGGAACATCAGTCCCAGAAGTCTGAAATAGGGTAATTATGATATTCAAAATTAAAATCATATGTTTGTTTACTTTGCTCAAAGTAAATAGTTAGAGGGCATTTAATTTCTCTTCTTTCAAGCTCTCAACTTCAAAGATTTGATTGAAGATGTCTTAACCTTTTCAAAATGCATTTAATTTGAAAACTTTAAAATTAAATTTGTTTTTTAGTTTTAATGGCAAACATTAAATTTGTATGTGTATTTGAACATCTTAGTATCTCTTAGCCTAAATCGCTTCATAGTGACCTTAAAAGTTACACGTACTGTTTTCACGCACAAGTTTTCAGTTAAATCCATTCTGTTCGAATTTTTGAAATATTTTCATTGAGTTAGATATAGAGAACACAATGTTAGGTTCTCTTTTAATGAGTGTGTAATGAGTGTGTAAAACCATTTCTTTAAAAAAACAGAACAGAAAAGAGTCATTGCCACAAATTAAACTTCTAATTCCTATAACTATATAGCCTGATGTTGTAAACATTTAATATTTCAAACTTAGACTATTTGATCTAACGGGATTCCTATTTAAGGTATATGATATTTGGTTGCAAAGATATGGGGAACAGAAAATCAGAGTTTGTGGCAAAGACTCATTTTTTTCATGTAAAGAATAAAAAATTTATTTTTTAGGGAAAACATTTACCTGACAAGTAGCCCCGGGGGATTCTCAGGTAAAAAAATTCCTAAGAAATCTAAAAATCTAAAAAATACACTCGAAGACAGAGGAGAAGATTAAATTTTAGCGACATTAATGATACAATTTTGTGATTCGTTACAGCTCCTCTTTTTTCTGTATACTAGTTTGAGATAAGCTATTTTTTATCAGTTGCTTACCTTAAATATAAACAGTATTGTTCTCAATGTCTCCTCGGTTAGAGAAGTTATAATTATTGAAACATTTTACCAATTTTTCATTTTTGTATAAAAAATTTATTATTCATAATCAAAACTGATAAAAGTAATTTTGAGATTTAACAATTTAATACAATATTGAATAATTAAAAATAATTTTAAAAGTTTCAAATTCAGATTGGAAATTTGTCATTATCCATAAATTTAAATAACAGCAACTTTATTTTTCAAAATTTAACAAAAAAAAGAACAAAGGTTTTGATTTTGAAGTTATCTTCTTTGATTGTGTACTTGTAGACGGAATTTCAATATTTTGAGTTAGAGAAATAATATGAGCTCCGTTATCCTTGTTCGGAGAAATGTTCAAAGGGTACCGTTGTGAATCGGACATGTTTTTCCGAAAATCACTTTAATAAAGAATAGAAACGCTTAATCCTATAAATGCTGGGGGATCTGAAAGCATGTATAGCCTGGGAAAATACCTTAGAGTAAAGGTATAGGGTTGCAATGCATGTTCAAGCCGAATTTGTCCAGGCCAAGCTCACTGAAAATAAAATAATACCGCTAACTTTAAAAGTGCAGGTGCTAAGAAGGTTTGAAAAAAATGCCAAATGGGGTCGGAAAAACGTAAAATATATATTTTTTTATAAATATTGATTCTGTAATCTGTTTTACTTTTTTCAAAGGCTATTAACTATATACGAATGCGTCGAAAAATAATCGATGACTACTGTTTGTAATATCTGAATTTTTTGTTTGGAATTAAATTGATTTGTTTACGATCCGAGTTGAATGTTGCATCTTTCCGAATTTGTATGGACGCTGCGTTCTTTTTTGTGAGTCGTTTTTAACAATTTTCTTCTTATATACTCAACAGATAGAACTTAGAAGTAAGATTAGTAGCGATCAAAAGCGCTTTTTTATCGCATTAAGCCTATACTCCCTTTCATTTTTCGCGAACACTACCTTTAATAGCACTTGAATTGATAAGTTAAGATTTCAAACATGTAAGATTTCAAACATAAAATTTACTTTATTTGACTAATTAATATTTGAGAATAGAAATGGTGAGAGTATTCCACAATTTTAATTTCAAAGAAAAATAGCAAAAACTTTGATGTATTATTCTAAATTTGCCGTGCTAATATTTTCGCATCTAAACTTTTATGATATCATTAATTCCTTGTTCTAGACCCAGGCTTAGAATTCATAATGAACACAATTCAAGGCAGGCAGGGAACAAAGTTTGCATTAATTTTCAAGCAAATTGGGTTTCATATCAAATTTAAAATTTATTTTTCAAATATATATATATACATTTAATGAAAAGAATGTCTGACGGAAGAAAGGACAGAAGGACACAATTTAATCGGGTCGGAGAGTTATATTTTCTCATTAGCAAAGTCATTAGCAAATCAACGCAAATGCCTCGATAACAGTTGTTTTTATTGTCTATCTCAACTCAATAGTTAAGTTTAAGGAAAATTAGTTCGCAAGATCAATCTGCATAATTAGGTTTTCATTATGGTTTATAGGGTACACCTATATGTCAAGTTTTTAATGATAAGACAACGGCGCAACACAAAATGTTTGAGTATACATTTTTTAATCATTCTTGAGGAAAACAAAAATAGAAAGACTTTGATAGCGAATTGGAAACAGGATTAATGATTTATAGTTTTTGTTTTGTATGCGTGACCTTTGGACACAACCTTTAACAATTTAATACAATATTGAATAATTAAAAATAATTTTAAAAGTTTCAAATTCAGATTGGAAATTTGTCATTATCCATAAATTTAAATAACAGCNTATTAATATCTGAAAAAAAAAATTTGCAATATTATTAGAATAAAACGGGAAGCGTCTGGAAAAAACGGAAGTACTAAATAAAACAACAATTCTTTCTTTTTAGTTACAGACCTGACTCCGCCTCCCAGCAACTTTTGTGATGATGTAAAATTCAAAAGTGATCTCTACACTGAACTTTCAGAGCCAGATATTTGTAATTTGACCCTTAATACAGATCCTTGTATGAGAACAGAACCGATGTATTTAGACTCTCTGAGAAAAGATACAATTACTGAAAATGAAATTGAGACGATGCCAAGTAATTCCCCTTTCTTCAGTACATACACCAATGTGAAACTAGAAAAACAGACACATGAGTCAGACTTCTATATACCTATTCGTGATATTTTGAATACAACAGAAGAGAATGTTCAAGGTTTAGGAGCAACGGTAAGATACTTAATTCTAAATAACTTAAAGGGACTGTAAGCGTAATTCTAAGTGACCCTCCATGCAAACACGGCTAAGTCTTATTTACATCGGCACACCGAACAATATGGACGATTTTACCGTTCTTCTCGGTTTAAAAAAACTGTGCACGGAGGGTCACTTTTAATTACGCTTACAGTCTAATGAGGATCTTCAGGTATTTAGATGTTTAAAGAGACTGTTAACATAATTACAAGCGGTCCTTAATTTAGAGCGTTATAAGGCCATTTTATCGAATTGACAATAATGGAGAATTCAGCGTTTTTGTATTTTAAGAGATTTAGATATCTCCTTTTTTTCTGCTGCGTAAATTGGCAAAAATTAGTAAATTTTTCTCACATATGTAACTCTGTAAATAAAATAAATTAGGCTTACAGCCTCTTTAAGATTTGTGAGTAATAGAAGATATTAATTATTGATCACAGTATTCTGAATATTCCTTTATCCAAGATAATTTTGAAGGTGCTCTGATTCTAACTATAAATTCATTAAATAGTTCTTTCTGGATTTTAGTTTGAAAATTATATCTTTTTAGTTTCCAGAGCTGCACAAAATTAAACTTTATCTATCAAATCTTTCTTAAAGAATTTAGGAATAAATTCTAAGAATAAATTATATTTTAAAGAAAAAAACAGTAATTTCTAACTATACGAAAACGATCAAGATAAAATAAAAAAGATTTGAGAGGTTAATTGTAGAAAAACTAATGCAGATAACGTGATATTCATGACAATCGTCTTTTCTTTTTGAAATAATTTGCAGCATTCATTTTACTAATATGATTCAAGAAACAATAATCACGCACTATAAAAGGCCCATCACTAGTCGCGAATGGTGAAATAAACTGATTTTGTGTGTTGGAAATGAAGAAGAATGAAAGTTTTACATGAAAATGTATTTTTTGAAATCTGATGACTTTGCTAAAGGAAGTATGATTTTAGTTTGTTACCTTTACCGGAGGAAACCTGGAGAAAAGTGGTGATTCAAGAATTGTCAACGCAACACGATTATAGATTTTAGACACGAAACCTTAACATTTTATTAGTAATATCAAGCTTATCAAAAGTTGTTTAAGATGCGAAATGTTTTTTGAAATTGTTCTTAACATTCAGTTTTTAATTTGAACAAAATATTATTAATTTTGTGAAATTTTTATAATGTCTTTTTTTCTAAATGTGCATACAAGATCGTCAACATAAAGTTTGACTTTCTTTAAGCTTTTCAAAATAAAATAAAAACGAGATAAAGCAAATTCTTGAAACGTTTAAAAACGTTTAAAATTATAAAATACATCGAAATCCACACTGCATTGTTATGTATCATTCTCTACAAAAAAAAAACTTGTAAACATAAATATATTAATACATTTTTTATAATTTAACAGATAAAATGCGATTTAATCTTAATAAATATGAAATTCCTTTTTTTACTAATTTTGATTATTTCCTGTAAGTTTATTATTAGTTACATGATAAATCTTAATAAAAACACGGGAACGATAATTGCAGTTCTGATTGATTATTCAGATGAAATATTTGCAATTTTTATCTTATAAGGTTTAAAGTCGTGCACTTTTATATCACATAGAGTAACAAAAAAGTGATATGTCAGTCACGTTAAAGTTTTTTATCAAAACAAAGCCCTTATATTCTTTTTTTTTTTGCTTATACTCTGCGTACATATTAAAACCAGTTCTATCTGGGCGGAATTTGTAAACAAGAATGCAAAAATATCAAAAGATCAAATGCCAAATGATCAAATGACGAATTATACAGTACAGACGCAGTACATTTCAATTAGGTCTACAAGCTAGAAATGTTAACAAATCTGGGTAAAATCATATAAACTGATCGTATTGCATTGTTTATCTCTAAACCGGCTAAATTCCCACAACAAACTATCAAGAGAAGAAAGAGAAGAAAGAGAAGAAAGAGAAGAAAGAGAAGAAAGAAAAGAAAGAAAATAAAAAAAGAAAGAATAGAAAGAGAAGAAAGAGAAAAAAGAGAAGAAAGAGAAGAAAGAGAAGAAAGAAAAGAAAGAAAATAAAAAAGAAAGAATAGAAAGAGAAGAAAGAGAAAAAAGAGAAGAAAGAGAAGAAAGAGAAGAAAGAGAAGAAAGAGAAGTAAGAGAAGAAAGAGAAGAAATATTTATGCATACCCTAAAATAATTTCTATATCATTTTTATTTCTATAATATTTTTGCAAAATAAGTAGCTGCCCCTACTGTTCAGCGTACACTTTTTTTTATCATTTCAAGAGTTTTTATCATTTGGCATTTGATCTTTTGATATTTTACAAGAATGGGTGCATCAGTGTTTGTTTAGTATCCGAGAAGTTAAAAGCATTGTATTTTGATACTATCAAGAGAAGAAAGAGAAGAAAGAGAAGAAAGAGAAGAAAGAGAAGAAAGAGAAGAAAGAGAAGAAAGAAAAGAAAGAAAATAAAAAAAAGAAAGAGAAGAAAGAGAAGAAAGAGAAAAAAGAGAAGAAAGAGAAGAAAGAGAAGAAAGAGAAGAAAGAGAAGAAAGAGAAGAAAGAGAAAAAAGAGAAGAAAGAGAAGAAAGAGAAGAAAGAGAAGAAAGAGAAGAAAGAGAAGAAAGAGAAGAAAGAGAAGAAAGAGAAGAAAGAGAAGAAAGAAAAAAGAGAAGTAAGAGAAGAAAGAGAAGAAAGAGAAGTAAGAGAAGAAAGAGAAGAAATATTTATGCATACCCTAAAATAATTTCTATATCATTTCTATTTCTATAATATTTTTGAAAAAGTAAGTAGCTGCCCCTACTGTTCAGCGTACACTTTTTTTTATCATTTCAAGAGTTTTGATCATTTGGCATTTGATCTTTTGATATTTTACAACAAGAATGGGTGCATCAGTGTTTGTTTAGTATCCGAGAAGTTAAAAGCATTGCATTTTGATAACTTTGATAATTAACATAAAAATTTCCTATGACCAGGATGTTTCATTCACTTTCAATGTGAAAGATGGATCCCATGTCAGGCTTCGACATCCGTCTTGTGTTTACATTACCGCCCAGAGACAGTACACTGCAGTACAAAAGATGCGTACACCTCTGAAATAACTTTTCTTGCATTATAACATTAGCGAGAGGTATGGCCTATTCACAACAATACCTTTGCACCCCTGATGTGGGTTTTCTGGGTTGACAATTGTTAAATTTCTAATAACATTTTTTCAGAGAAACCACAAATGAAAATAAACTGCTTTCAAAAACGAAAACATGAAATCACATGAAATTGCGTTTACAGACTCTTTTCTCAGAGTAATAGCTGACAATTTATATACTCTCATATATATAGTAGATGTGTTTAGAGTATATATATAGAGTACATATAGAGTATATAAAGAGTATTTATACTCTAACCACATTGAAACATTTGATTTGCAATCCTTGTGTAAAGGAAATGTTTGGTTTGGAAACTTTTGGTAAATATTTCATGAATGCAGTTTTATGTACAGTGATATTTACACTATAAAGTCATCGATTTTTTTTGTATATTTAAAAGAGTAGAAAAATAAAAATATCTTAATGGCAAATTTTAACGAATATTAAAAATCCTATTTTGGCAGTCATCTAACCTTTTGCTGTCAAATAAGCGATTTTTGTTGAAAATAAGCGATTTTGTGTTACTTATTGAGCAGCCATGTAACTTTATAAAATTAAACAATTAAACTTTATAGAACTGACCAATCACAAATTTTCTGATTTTTCCATTTATAAACTTTTGATTTGAGAGGAAAAAAGTATCGCAGATATTGCTCTCGACTTAATTCTTGAGCTAGGCATCAAGCTTCCGAAAAAAAATCAAAGAATCATTTAAAATATACAAAAATGTAAATTGCACAATGCACAGGTATAAAGCACAAAAAACATTTGCGCTTTTTATTTAACTCACTCTGTATTTAGGTAGTAAAATAAATCCCTACATCGCTATTCGTTGCAGCCAAATGATGTAAAATTTTGACATTTAAAACTAGGATTGTTTGATCTTCAAGAATTCATAGTTTGAAATATCGAAGGCATACGAGTTAGGACATTGGTTTGCAAAGTTTTAGGAATCAGCAAATCAGAGTTTGGGGCAAGAACTCTGTTCCTTTGAATGTAAAATTTATTTTAAATATAAAGATACTGACATTTCATATGATTTGTTAAAAGCTAATTCTATGATTTTATGTTTTTACTCTCTCCAACGTACCCGACCATTACTATTCATTCATTTATTCATTTATTTAGTTGAATACAATACTTCTTCTTTAAATTGATAATAATGAAGTATGCGCAAAGGTATTGAGTCTTTGCCACAAACTTAAACTTTCTAATCACCATATCTTAGCAATCTTATGGAGTAAACCTTTGATATACTTAGATTATTTGATCTAAGAGAATTTATGGTTTGAAATATCAGAATCCTACGATTTGGTTGCAAAGAAAGAAATAGAGATTAGAAAATAAGAGTTTGTGGCAAAGGCTAAATTCCTTTGGGTTTGGTCGTTTTACCTAACGTTAATATTATATAAATTAACGTTATTATTACATACGTTAACTTTAATATTACATAAATTATCGTTATTATTACATAAGCTAACGTTAATATTACATAAATTATCGTTATTATTATTCAGACATGAACATCAGACATGAACATCAGACATGAACATCAGACATGAACATCAGACATGAACATTAGACATGAACATCAGACTTGAACATCAGACATGAGCATCAGACATGAACATCAGACATGAACATTAGACATCTACATCAGACATGAACATCAGACATGAACATCAGCCATGAACATCAGACATGAACCCTAATAGCTTACACTGTGAACTAGACAATTGGAGGTCAAATTTATGCGATTTTGTTGGTAGGACTTTGTGACCTTATAGCTCCTCTAGTTTTGATTTTATTCAGGAGTAGGAGAACAGTAAGTTTATTCATAGATCGTATGCTACAATTTTAAAGCATTTTTCTTATTTTCAATAGCTCTTTAATATGCAAAGTTATGATTGAAAACATGTAAGACTTAATTCTTCAGTGCGATTTAATGTAGTGTTAAGTTTCAGGTTAAGAGCATCGTGAATTGTTCAACCAATCATTTAAAGGGACTGTTGACATAATATCTAAATACCTGCCATTTAAAAGTACAGTTGACATAATATCAAAATACCCACCATTTAAAGGGACAGTTGACATAATATTTGAATACCCGCCATTTAAAGGGACTGTTGACATAATATCTGAATACCCACCATTTAAAGGGACTGTTGACATAATATCTGAATACCCGCCATTTAAAGGTACAGTTGACATAATATCTGAATACCCACCATTTAAAGGGACTGTTGACATAATATCGGAATACCCACCATTTAAAGGGACTGTTAACATAATATCTGAATACCCGCCATTTAAAGGGACAGTTGACATAATATCTGAATACCGGCCACCATTTAAAGGGACTGTTGACATCATATCAAAATACGCGCCATTTAAAAAGCTAAAGAAGCCTGTATGATTATACCCTTTAAGCCTTTGTCTGCAGAACCTTCAGAAAGATATTAATGTTTTTCTACTCGGAAAAATTAAAGAATTATGTCAATGATCCTTCTTCTTGCTTATGCTGCATAAATCCGCAAATCACTTTATAGAGAAAATGTTTTTTATTTTCAGAGAGAAAAACAAGGATTGCTCCATAATCTTTGTTCGGACAAAGGTTTAATAAGAATAATAATTCATTTTAGTAGAATTCGCGTTGAAATAATTTTGAATTTTGTTGAAGAATCAAATTAACAATTTATCCAAAACTCAGAGTTGACATTTCCCGAAATCATGATATCTATTCGTACTTAAGCAAAGTTGCAAAATATTATTTGTTTTTGGTTTATTACTCAAATAAACTTGATGCATAATCAATACATCCACAAAGACTGAGTGAGATCAGCATAGAAATGAGTGATTGTAACATGAAGCATATTTATACCAGCATAATATGAAAATTGGAAAAGAAATATAACTTTTTGTTATATAAATAATTGTCAATCATTATCGTTTATTCATTAAATTAGTATCTTATACAATGCTTCCAGAGCACTTAACTCCTATATTCGATTTTAATTTTAAAGGAATTGAGTCTTTGTCACAAACTCTCAATTTATAATCCCTTTATCTTTGGAACCCAATGCAGTACATCTTTGATATTTCAAACTTATTTTAATTTATTCAACAGAATTCATTATTTGAAATATGTAAGGTCTACGACATTGGAATCCAAAGATATAGGGTTTAGAAAAGCAGAGTTTGTGGCAAAGACTCAATTTCTTTTCGCC